CTCTCTCTCTCTCTCTCTCTCTCTCTCTCTCTCTCTCTCTCTCTCTCTCTCATCCCCTTTCCCTCTCTCTATAGAACCGTCACTCCTTACGGCGCGATCGCTACTCTACGTGTTCCAAAAACCTGAAGGTTTCATATCACTATTTTTAAATCTTTGAATCCCCCCACCCCCACGTCGCCATTCGCTGGAAATATTTAGCTCAACATCAGGAAGCTGCCAACTTTGCCGCACTGGTCGTTGGATTCTCGACTTTTACAAACTGAGGTTGTGGATTGTCATTTTGTTTCAAATTCAGTTGGCAAGCATACTATAAATTGCTTTATATTTTGTTGTTATTCAAGCTAGATTTACTCGTTTCCCGTAGCCTACAGTCAGCAAAGTATTCGCATGTTGGCTACCAAGCTTGTTAATGAACGCTGAGAGATAAACATATTTTTTTCGCACGGGTTGTCTACTTTTTCATTAGAATGAAATGGACTGTGTGACAAGTTCTGTAAAGGAAAATTCTACTACGTCTAATACGTCCTATTGTTGGGGAGATGGATAAAAGGTGACTGGTGTTGTTATTCAGCAAGGATTTCTTGTCCATACAGTGATCTCTGGTTTGGAAAAGGAATTATAATTTTGTGACAAAGAAACGGACCACTAGGATTCGAATTGAAGTGAGTTATCAAGTTCATTTGTGAGGCAACGTGGTGGAATCAGGCTGTCGTCAAAATAATCAAAGTGAAGAAACTTGCATTTTTCCGCAAGTTTGTGGATTTTTTATCAAATTTTTGTTTTTTGGCTCAAAACCTTTCATGCCCATTGAAGAACTCATTTCTGTGTGTATTTTTCTGAAAAGCGTTGATTAAAGGCACAAAAATGTAAATTTTCAGTTACCACGGACTCCTAAGCTAAGGAAATAACTAATCTTTGGCAGCCATTTTCTCACTAATTTTACATCTGAAAACAAGTGACCCCCACCTCCTTCTTTCGCAAATATCTCGACTTGTATTCGAGATAGATGGATTTTTTCCCGTGCGAATAAAGACAAGCGAACAAGCTTTAAAGATGATACCAATAACTCTACAGGCCCAAACATTGACGAGAGCCTGATTCCACCACGCTGCCTCACATTTTGTTTCTGTTCCCTTCATGACATTCCTTCAAGGTTTTTTGTTTGGTTTGGTTTTGTCTTGTTCTTTTAGCGTGAAAATAACAATCTATTAGTTTTACAGTTACATATTATTATTGTGGCGTCGGTGGCCTAGTGGTTAGACTCTCGGACGCGCAACCGTAAGGTCGTGGGTTCGAATCCCGTCAGGGGCCCGACGTTGTGTCCTTGGGAAAGGCACTTTGCACACATTTTCCTCACTTCACCCAGGTGGAAATGGGTACCCGGCTATAGACAGTGAACGATCTTGTCAGTTTGATAGTGTTTGAGCGCGTGAAATCCTCTGCATGCACTGTATGCTTCCGCGGAAGCCGATAATGTTTCTGAGTGTTCTCAGAGGGTCTGCTGGGGTAATAATAGTTGTAAAGCGCATAGAGCATGCTCATGAGCATGGCTATGCGCTATATAAATGCATTTATTATTATTATTATTATTATTATTATTATTATTATTATTATTATTATTATTATTATTATTATTATTATTATTATTATTATTATTATTCAGAACGATGTGTTTGATAGGAAAGAAGAAGTAAACCACACCACAGCAACCATCGACCACCCATATAATCACAGCACTTTAGTTCAGGCCATTTCTTGCACGTAAGACGACCCCCCCCCCCCCCCCCCTCGCCCCGCTCCCCCCAAAAAATAAATTAATGAAAAATCACCTCTTTCTCGCCTCCAGGTTACTGCAACAAATCGGCCAGGTTGTATTGGACTGCCTCTAAAGACTAAAGAGCTACTTTTCTTAATCTCTGTACTGGGGGTCCTTTGTGGATTGTTTCGGGTCGGGCCGGGCGGGTTAATGGCGGCTTCAGTGCACACTACGAATAGACCCTTTCCCTTGTTGTGTCAGATTTGACAAAAAACCACTAGAAAACTTTGACCGCGGCACGGTGTTACTGACCGCAAAACTGACCATCCTCAACACAATCATTTCCTTCTATAACGGCTCCAAGTGCCGACTATCGTATTATATCGCGTTTGCTGTGTTGAGAGATTTTAAGGGGGCTCTCGTGGCCTAGAGGTTGGTTAAGGTGTTGGCCTCTCATTCAAAAGGTCCCGGGTTCGAATCCGGGTAGTGACCGAAAAATTTTCTTCTCTAAAATTGTCTCCTTTCACCTCCTTTCCTGCTGTCTAGCAATATTCTGTCGTCTGCTTTCGTCTCCTCTTTCTGCCCCCACCCCCTCACCTCCTTTGCCCCCTCCTCTGGGCTCCTGGCTCTTTCTGCAGCCTTTCTACTGCTACTCCTTCGCTTCTTCTTACTGCTGTCTTTCAGCCACACCCCTGATCTTCTGGTAGGAAGGATCTACACCTAGCCTTCTCGGACAAGGGCGAATAATCTCGGAGGTGCAAGTTGCGCACGTTAAAGATCCCTTGGTGGTCTAAAATCGATAAGAGTAGGCTTCGGCCGCCACCCGGGCAAAAATTCAAAATTTCCAACCGATTAAAAGTATTAGGTGTGACCCGCGCGCTCATATGACCTTATGCAGTTGCGAGCGCCGTAAAACACTTACCAAAACGAACAAACAAAAACATGAGATTTTAAAATCCCGCAGACATGGGAAATGCGATAGCACTCCAGACAGATCGGTATTATCTTGTCCAAGTCTACACTGTTCATTACAGCATACCTCGTGCGCACTGTACACATCCGATTGTTTGACTCAGTACCATGAAAAACAAACTATGCGTTCGTTTTTGAAGGCCTCACTCAAATTCGGTCGAATAACACCACCATGGTAGCCTCACTCAAATTCGGTCGAATTCGATCGAATAACACCACTATGGTAGTCTCACTCAAATTCGGTCGAATTCGATCGAATAACACCACTATGGTAGCCTCACTCAAATTCGGTCGAATTCGATCGAATGACACCACTATGGTAGCCTCACTCAAATGCGGTCGAATTCGATCGAATTATGCCGCGATGGTAGTCACACTCAAATTCGGTCAGATTCGATCGAATTGTGCTAAGATGGTAGCTATTTTTGCTCTTTCGTGTGTGAATATAATATGTCTGGCTCCGACTCAATTCGATAGAGTTCGACTGAATTCGTTTGGATGGCAGTGAACAGTGGGTGGACAAAATACGATTTTTTTGGTGACGTGTGCGCAAACTGCATATTTCTAAAATTCTTCTCGAAGTTGCGTCTTGTGGTGTCGTTCGACTTCAGTATCTCTACAAGGAGTAACAAAATGGTGGCAAATACAATATAATGTGAATGGTTTCTCTCTCCGTCGTCTCAGGATCATTATGGAGGCGGGCAGCTTCACCAGGTGAAAACTTCGTCAGGTAACATCTACTCGTTTGTACACCACTGGGAAAGATTGTAATACGGTGTGCCCACTACGGACGGGATCGGCCGATCGGGCCGATCGCCCGGCTCGATCGCCTCAAAAACAAACGTGTTTGTTTTCAGTTTCAGGCGATCGAGTCGGGCGATTGGCCCGATCCAGCCGCAGTGGGCACCCCGTATAAGGGGAGGCACAGGGTTTCATAATATGATGATAGAGTAACGTATCGGTTATCCACGAACACTTTCGAGTACTTTAATATCATAAGAATCGATAACACTTGATACACACGCACACACACACACACACACACACACACACACACACACACACACACACACACACGCGCACACACACACACACACACACACACACACATAATAATATATATACACGCAACTGCATAATAATGTCATATGAGCGCGCGTTACCCGTTACACATTAAACAGTTTCAGTTAGAAGGAAATTTGGAATTTTGCCCGGATGGCGGCCGAAGCCTACTCTTATCGATTTTAGACCACCAAGAGATCTTTAACATGCGCAACTTGCACACAGGAGCTCCGAGATTTTTCGCCTTTCTCCGAGAAGGCTAGGTGTTGATCTTTTCTACCAGAAGATCAGGGGTGTGGCTGAAAGACAGCAGTAAGAAGGAGCCAAAGGAGTAGCCTAGCAGCAGAAAGAGTCAGGAGCCTAGAGGAGTGGGCAAAGGAGGTGAGGGGGGTTGGAGCAGAAAGTGGAAACGAAAGCAGACGACAGAACATTTGTAGAGAGCCTGAAAGGAGGTGAATGGAGACAATTTTAGAGAAGAACAATTGTCCATCGCTATTCGAACCCAGGACCTTTGAAAGAGGAGAAGCGAACGCCTTAACCTCTAGACCATGACATTTTTCATTAGCTAAATCGATGGTCTGACTTATTACCCTCCTTGTGTGAAAAATTAAAAGTGAAAGTGTGACTAGTTTTTGAATAAATCAACAGAAAAAATTCGGAAGAACGCCTTTCTAAAATGGTTACCCTGACAAAACGCCTTTTAAAGGTTTGCTGAGAAGACACCTCCCCACCTCCCCCCCCGCCTTGGAAAAAAGGTGTTATGTCAGCAAATTCTGAAAAAAGGCGTTATGTCAGCAAATTCTGAAAAAAGGCGTTCCAATTCAAAGGCGATTGACAAGGGAAACACGGAGGGAACGCCTTTTACTTGTCTTGTACCGACACCGTGATTCTCCTTTTGGGTATGATCCCCCCATGCCTACACCTCCCTCCAAACACACACACACACATACACACACGCACGCACACACACACACACACACAAACAAAAACACACACACACACACACACACACAAACAAAAACACACACACACACACACAAACAAAAAAACACACACACAAACACACACACACTTTTACACAAGGCTTATACACATACAAAGGTGACATAACGCCTATTTTCGTGATTATTTGTTTATTTCTCCAAGAATATAGGCTAAATTTATATTTTAAACAGGGAATGCCATTCGTGGGTGGTTGGCGGGTGCTCTGGTGTGGTTTGCTTCTTCTTTCCTATCAAACATCTGTCGTCCTTTTCTCCCCACCTTCTATTTTATGTTTGTCAGTCTCTTGTAACACCTCTAATCTTCGGCACTTATATGACCTTATTGTGTTGCAAGTGCCGTAAAACTCTTACTAAAACTAAAGAATGCCATTCTGCTAGGGATGCGAGTTCAATCGTTGTTGTACTGTGCAAAATAGTTGAGATGTAATCAAATAGAAAATCGTCAATTTCTCGAAACTGCTGTTCATAGAAAAAAGTCGTTTTGTCAGCTTACGGTTGTGACTCCTGTATAATCATACAAATCATATGGAGAGAGATCTTTCTCATATCTTGGTCCGTTTATATGGAACAGATTACCCATGAAACTAAGACAAATAAGAACACTTGATAGTTTCAAAAGACATTTTAAACATTTTCTGTTCCTACAGGCCTATCCTTCATTTTACTTTCCTAACACTTTCACACTCTTTCCTCAATTTGAAATCTTTGGAAAACCTTTTCACATCTGACACCAGGGTTCGAAAACTCCGAAATAAAAACTACACTTTTCCAACATCATATGGGAAAAAAAGCAACAAACAACAACAACAACAACAACAACAACAACCCAACACCATAACTCTGGGTTGACTTCCAAGCCATGTCTCGG